CATATGTTAAATGTCTGTTATTCTTCGAATTCTTCGAATTCTTCGAATGCCACTTCGGGCTCCGAATTTTCACTTCGTGAAAATTTTCCCCACCGAGCCCGAGGATTCTCGGAAATTCCATTCCCCTGCTCGAGCTCTTCGAGCTCTGCGCTGCCGAATTTCCTCCGAAACGATGCTATGTTAACATTTATTTGTAAAGACTGCTTGTAAATTTTAAACGCACCTATATATTTCAAAAACATATAGATTCCAAATTTTGTAAAGAGCATATGTTAAATGTCTGTTGTCCTTCGGACACTACGGGTGCGCTCCTGATTCACTTCGTGAATCACCCACCGTCGCTGAGGATTCTCGGGGCTCCATCCCCTGCTCGATCACTTCGTGATCTGCGCTGCCGAGCCCCTCCGAAACGATGCTATGTTAACATTTATTTGTAAAGACTGCTTGTAAATTTTAAACGCACCTATATATTTCAAAAACATATAGATTCCAAATTTTTAAACGCACCTATATATTTCAAAAACATATAGATTCCAAATTTTTAAACGATAGATTGTAAACTCGAGTTTTTTACCCCCCTTTAAAAACAGATACTTTTTTACACTGGTATTAACATGTACTATATACACGGCTTTGAAACAGGTACTTTTTGAGTCGATAATCTCTTTGAAACCATGTACCAAAAATGCGCCGGTACCCCCATGTACTATACTACTATTATACTATACTATACAGTGGCACTCTCATCTGCCTCATGCGAACGCACATTCAGCGTAATGCATCGTCTCAAAACATGGCTACGGTCAAACACTGAAGGAAATCATCTGAATGATATTATGTTCGCCAACATTCAGAAGCAACACATGGATATCGTGGAAATAGATGTAATTGCAAAAGAGTTTTCACAGAGAAATGAAAGAAGAATTAAATACTTTGGAAAATACAATACATGAGTGATGACAAATTGTAAATTAGTGACGTTACATCGTTTGATATTTATATTATCGTTAATACTAGTCGACCAACACTGCGGACATGTGCTTCTGTACAGTGTATTGCATGTAGCACATCTCTTTGCTGTTTATCACTATGACATTATTTTTAGTATATTTCACTAATGTGCCCTTCCACAAAGGCTTGCCCCTCCTGCACTTTTGCCGTTCCGACGTCCCTGGCGACTTTTTGCCCGCGACCTGCAACATTTACGCCTCGGTCACTCTGCATCCGATAACGATGCAAGAAAATCGCTCGTTATTCAAACTCTTGTATGCGGTCACATTGCAGCGATAACGATAACGATAACGATTTATCGTTAGTATGTGACCATTGAATTTCCTTATAGTTTATTGTTATCGTTTATCGTTATCGTTATCGTCGAACAGTGTGACGGAGGCTTTAGATACATTCTCTTTGGACATGTAATACAAAGGACAAAAATATACAGACAACGCGAGACAACAGTTTAAACTCTGTAATGCTTTTTTTTGCGATTTCAACAGTTCTTATATTTACTAGTAAGATAAGAGTACATACTAGTAATGTAAATAGTACTGTAGAACAAACGTTTTTGCAATTTGTATAGACAGCTCGGACTGAAGGTCTATTGAACTTTCAATGAAATCCCTTCGTTTCGTTTTGCCGCGCTTCGCTTTAATTTATTTAGGCAAGCATTCTCGCTTGACATATTGTTTAGTCATTTTGCGATAGTCTAAAGGCTCCTCCAACATTGTATGGTGGCTCAGCTGTGCCACATTTTTTTCCATTATATATTTTTAAATGTTATCTTTTTATTTTATTTTTTTATTTTTTAATACTTCTTTATTTTTTCATTTGGTATTTTTTTTTCATTTTGTTATTTAATACTTTTTATTTTTTGTATAATATTTTTATTTTTAAAAAAATTAAAAGCAATTGAATCGAAAATAACTCCCTGGTTTAGGAGTTCCACCGGATCATGCGTGCCATAAGACATTTCTCTAAGTGTTACATGAAGTATTACTCGAAAAATCATTGCAAATATATATAAAAATAGCTACAGCAGAATGGAAAAATGACGAATATCTGAAAAAAGAAAGAGAAGATTATGTTCCAAAGAATTATCAGCGTTTGGAGATGTTAGATTTTATGAAAAAAGTATTTGATGTACCAATGGAGTTTACGTAGTCTCGCCCGTAGAATGACTTTCTTTAATATAAAGTATACAAAGTACGAAGTCCACCTTGATGAAGTTCGCGCGGCCGTAAGAAAGGAACCGGAAAGTCCCGGTCTTTTACTTGGTTATCGTGCATTGCATAACAAGTGCGGGATGTTCATAAATTAAACGTTCCTAGAAATCTAGTTTATACTGTTTTAAGTGAAATCAATCCCGAAGGTCTTATTGCAAGAGGCAATGTTGGAAAAACAAAAAGATTGAAAAGAAATAACTTGTTTCATGCAGAAGTAATTGATTTCAATGAAATGCAATCTTTAAATAAATAAGTATCCCAAGCCTAATATTTATTTTGCCTCTTAGAGTTCTGAATTTACCATGTCTTATATTTAGCGTCTTACTGATAAAAAGACATTCGCGAATTATACCTCTACGATCTGTTGACTTTCTTGACTCTCGCTGTCGCTCACGTATAGGCTTTTTGACTTTTAACTTGTCGTGTGTATACTTTTTTAACATTTTCGATGATACCCGTACTCTGGCGAGGGAAGATCTTCCCGAAAAGGATCGATTACTGCAATAACTTTCCTATCCTCACGTTTCTTTGCAGCTTTGTAGATAGATTTTTTGGACGTGTCACTGAACATAATAATCGATTTACACGGACTCTTTCCACTGCACTGAAGAATGCACCCGATAAATGTTTTATTGATGTTTGAGTTTTTTGTGCTTTTGACGGTGAAATCCTCAAATCAACTTTTCAAACGGTATATTTTTTCGTTTTCTAGGCATGATTTGTCAGACAATACATGCCAGGAAAACATATAATTTTTAGGTAGGTTATATGAATTATGAGAAAGGGCCGCTGATCAAAATAGCCAAGTCTCATTTCTTCCATCAAAATTATTCAAAAATCATGGCGCTTCTCAAAACAAAACAAACACTGTCAGTAAAAGTTATTAGTCGGCTTTCTCAAGAACATTTTTGCTCGCCGACTTATTCAGATGGTTTTAAAGGTGTTAAAGGAACTACAATTCTAGCATAAAATGAAATTGCCCCTAGGTATGGTAAGTTTTTACTCAATTTTCTTCACTTATCTGCGTGACTATTGCTACAGTTCACAAATTATACCAACACAAGATTTGATTTTATTACCAGCAAGAAGAGCTGTTTACTAGCAATTTCGAGGTCACATAAAGTATATCCTATTCCTCGTAAATCCACAATTAAGAATTGATTCCCTGATTTTACAAACGAATAATGGGTAAATGCTTTAGCTTTCTGTAATACCCGGACATCAGCATCTTCATCCTGAATAATTTCGCCGATATTATTAATATACTTCACAAACTTTCCCATGATGAAATGTTCGACAGTTACAGATTCATTATCTAAATTTGCATAGTATAGCTTAGTGCATTAAAGGTTTCCCCAAATTCTGTAGGAGCCTCGTCATGCATAAGGGAAACAAAATGCCTTGCAAGAGCGTGCATTTGTCCCATTTTTCTTCTATGGTCATTCAGATCATTAAAAAAATTCACCACTTCTTGAACTTTGTCTGCCCTATACTTTTTCATGACAAATTTACCAAAGAATCAATTTATTTTTTCTATTTTTCCACAGGTTTTTCATTTTTTCCATTGTTTTTCTTTGTGTTCAAATGGGACCATCGTCAGTGGACCAATTCTTCTGTATTTTTGTGCTTTTCCTTACTGTACAGCAGATAAACGATGTACAGTCAAGTGTTCTATTTATTCATTTCTTAGCTTTTTCCCTATTCTTTTGTAAGACATTTTTCTCTCTATGTCACTCTATTGTTTTCGCTTCGACATATTAATATGAGTTAAAATCGAAAAGCCTTTTCTAAGTGTGTATCATTACATTTCTCAATTTTAGAGTAATACTTCATGTAACACTTAGAGAAAGCCTAATGTATGGCACGCATGGTCCGGTGGGCACTCATGGGCCACGGCGCTATTTTGGATTCAACTGCTTTAATTTTCTTAAAAATAAAAAATATTGCATAAAATAAACAATTTTAAATAAAAAAATAAAAAGTATCAAATAAAAAAATGAAAGAAAGTATTAAATGGAAAAATAAAAATGTACTAAATAAAAAAATAAAAAATATTAAATAAAAGATAAAATATAAAAATATATAATGGAAAAACTAAAAAATAAATGTGGCCCAACTGAGCCACCATACTATAGTGGAGGAGCCTTTAGTCTATCGCAAAATGACTAAACAATATGTCAAGCGAGAATACTTGCCTAAATAAATTAACGCGAAGCGCGGCAAAACGAAACGAAGGGATTTCATTGAAAGTTCAATAGACCTTCAGTCCGAGCTGTCTATACAAAGTGCAAAAACGTTTGTTCTACAGTACTATTTACATTACTAGTATGTACTCTTATCTTAAATAAGAACTGTTCAAATCGCAAAAAAAGCATTACAGAGTTTAAAATGGTGTCTCGCGTTGTCTGACTTATTTATCAAATAAAGAAAAGTAAATGTTTCATCACACTCTCAATATGAGTAAGTATTTTATATATTTTATATATTTATATCTAAAAGTTACTCGTTTTGAAGAATATCAACGGTCAATGATCGTATTTTTCATGATCGTTCGAAATATACTCTCACAAATCTTTTTTGATCGAATAAACAAGATGTCTTGGCCTTCGATATGTATATTTTACTGACGTTTGATTGACATGTTTTTCTTTTCTATTATTCATTTATAATTATTAGTCTGATCTTCTTACACTCCCCAGGGTTGACATAATAAAATGTTGTCAACAAACAAAACAAAAAAAACAAAACTATTTTTTGCAAAGAATGTACAGTTGTTTAGAACTTGTTTGTATTCTGCAATCTTCGCAACTGTCCTGTTATTCCCGTGCTGCGCTGTGGTCGATCAGTTGGACGAAGCACTTGTTCTTCTTCGCCGTTCTTATCGCTCTCTACACTTTCGTTACTGTCTTCTTCCTGATCAACCTCAATTGGGATAAGTTGCCTGATAGAACGTCGCAACAAGTGTGAATGACTAGAGTCTCCACGAAGGTTTCTGACTTGTGCAGCTCGTGTAATTGCATAGTCACCTTGTAACAATTGTTCAACCTTTGTGTTACTATCAAGTCGTCATACAACAAGAATAAACCAAATTACAAATTTATTGTTTCAAATTATTATCTTCAATTACTGTCTTTAATTTACTGTCTTCAAGTTACTGTTCTCAAATTACTTTAAGGACCGTTTGGTCCCATGTACAACATTCAAAAACAACAATTTGTCTTTTTTACTCTTATTAAATAACAACACCCTTTCAAACGTCACTTCCTGCTCCCCATTCCGTCCAAAGCGGCAATTCATACGGTAGCCACACCGGCCCCTAAATGGAAATTGCAACGTAGCAATCCATTTACAACTATATTAAGCTACCGTTAAATCTGGATAACACAACAAGAACATAACTCTCAAATTCTAAATTATTTAGATATATAAATTTTAACTGTCCATCTCAACTAGACATAATTTAGTCATGGGACGGATCAAAGTTACCGTGTTCATCTTGTAATCTACCTTTCGTTGATGTTTAGCTCTGGTCGATACTGTTGAACTAGTTTATACCTTCACTGTCCGCACATAACCGTTATTACTTGCTATTGCTTCTATAACGAGACCTATCGGCCATTGTCCTCTTGGGTAGTTTTCGTCAGCTACAAGTACTAGATCTCCTTTTTTAAGATTCCGTCTCGGTGTGTACCATTTCTTTCTCTCCATTAATGTTGGTAAGTATTCTTTGAGCCATCTACGCCAAAAAACATTTGCTAAGTATTGAGCCTGCTTCCAATTCTTCTTACAGCACAAATCATTTTTGTCAAATAATCCCGGGGGTAAACTACTACTTGCTCGTAAATGCAATAAGTGGTTTGGAGTTAGAGGATCGTCATCTTCAGGACTATCACTGTTGCGCGTGAGGGGTCTTGAATTCAGGATTAGAACCACCTCTGCAATCACGGTTTGCAGGACTTCGTCTGAAACTACTTGTTCCTTGGGAATTGCTTTCAGGATTTGCCTAACAGATCGTATCATTCTCTCCCATACGCCTCCCATATGGCTCGCTGAAGGCGGGTTAAAGTGCCACTTACTTCTTCTTTGCGTACAAAATTTGTCCACTTTACTTTGATCCCATTCTTCAATTCCTTTGTTCAATTCCTTGTTAGCACTCACAAAATTTGTTCCTCTATCACTCCTGATTTGCTCGGGACATCCTCGCATGCTAATAAATCTCCTGAGAGCATTGATCATCGAGTCTGTACCCAAGGAATGAGCTATTTCTATATGGATTGCTCGGGTCGTGAAACATGTGAAAAGGCAACCATATCTTTTCACCAACGATCTACCTCTTTTCACCAGCATGGGTCCAAAATAATCGATTCCTACTATAGTAAAAGGAGGTTTTTGAGGTGTCACTCGGCTTTCTGGTAGATCTGACATTAGCTGCTCACCCAAACGAGCCTTTCTTCTTTGACAAGCTAGGCAACTTCGTACTACGCGTCGAACTGCTGTTCTTCCTTTAATTATCCAGAATTCCTTTGTTAGTGATGATAAGACGGATTCTTGACCCATATGACCTACTTCAGCATGATGCTGACGAATTATCATATCTGTGACGGGATGCTTGAAGGGTAGAATAATAGGATGTTTTGATTTCCCATTGCTTGGCGCATTACCAAGCCTGCCTCCAACCTTTAGTAAGCCGTTCACCATCATTGGATTTAATTGTCGGATGGAGATTCCTGATTTTCTGAGTAGTGCCTTGTCAAGCTCGTTACTATTTCCTGGAACTGCAAACAGTTTCAGTTCTTGAGAGAATGTTGTGTTCTGTACATGTGCGAAGATCTCCCTTTCGGTGACATCCAATTCTTCCATTGTTAGTCATCCAACTTTAAATTCCGATTCCAAATGAGGACTAGAAATAACTTTCCTTTGTCTCGCCTTGCTAAGAAGATAATCCTTATAACGTAACAACCAAGCAACAGAACACCTAAACTTCCACCAAATGGAGTGGCGTGAAATCAACATATCCAACAAATGAGGCTGTTCTGCAGTCACGTAGATTTGGGCTTCCTTCCTTACCTTTCGGTCTTCATCCTTTAATTCAGGAATTGTTATTCCCTTCGGCCAATGGCTTTCATCCTCCCAAAGGAATGCAGGACCTTTTAACCATTGGCCTTTATTTCTCAACACGTCCAATTTAACGCCCTTGGAACCTTCATCGGCGGGATTGTCGTCCCGGTTCACGTAATTCCACTCGGATGGGTGCGATCCACTACGAATCACTGACAAACGGTTGGACTCGAATGTGTGAAATCTTTTGCTTTCGTTGTTAATACATTTGAGGACTGACATTGAATCTGTCCAGTAACAAACTCTTTGCACTACCATATCCAATTCTTCTCGAATAATCTTCGAAAGTCTTACGGAAATGACGGCAGCCGTTAATTCCAGTCTTGGAATAGAAATCTCCCTTAATGGAGCGAGTCTAGCCTTCCCAATTACAAATGAGCAGTGTATTTCGTTGTTTCCATTCTTTAGACGCAAATATGCCACCGCCGAATAGCCAAGTCGAGAGGCGTCGGAGAAAATATGTAGACTCACATCTTTAACTTCTTTGAATCCTGCAGGTTTAAAACAGCGGCGAACCCGAATTTCTTGAATGTGATCATCCCATCCACGTCCTTTTCTACAAAGCATTTGCAGTATTAACTTCGCCTTCATAACAAACGGAGCAATAAAGCCTAAGGGATCGAAAAGCGAATATACTGCTGACACTATCTTCCGTCGAGTGACGGGACCTTCGTTTTCTAACTGCAACATTCTTTCCGCAACAACCCACACAAACATATCCTCTTCTGTGTTTCACTTTATTCCAAGAGTACTTTCTGTGGGAAGCTTATCCAATTTCAAATTCTTTACGGATTTTGCTCTCTCAGTTTCGGGAATTGTTGCTATCAAGCTCCTACTGTTGCTGTACCATTTTGTAAGACGGAATCCTCCTCTTATCAATAGTTGACGCAATTGACTCGCTAAACTTATTGCTTTTTCTGGTTCGCTTATTGATTTCATCAAGTCATCAACATACATGTTACGTTTCACCGTCTCTACTGCTAGTGAGTCGTATTCTTTTTGATACAACTCGGCTGTCTTCCGCAAACAGAAATTGGCGATACTTGGAGAAGACGTTGCTCCGAACAAATGTCTCGTCATTCGGTATTCTTCCATGTCTCCAGAAAGGTCTTTATTTGGCCACCATAAGAATCGCAATGCGTCCCGATCCTTTGGTTCCACTAGAACCTGATGGAACATTGCTTCTACATCAGCAACTACTGCAACCAATTCCTCTCTGAAGCGAATTAACACGCCTGTTAGTAGATTTGTCTGATCCGGACCCTGTAGAAGTTGCTGATTCAACGACGTTTGCTCATATCTGGCTGCACAATCATAGACGACTCTTACCTTTTCGGGCTTTAGAGGATGAGTAACCGGGTGATGTGGTAGGTACCACGTTGGTCTGTCGTTTACCTCTAGTTGATCCTGAGGAATTCTTTCTGCGTAGCCTTTATCAATGTAATCGTTTATTGTTGCTTGATACTTTTCCAACAGGTTTTCATCCTTGAGGAGCCGTTTTTTCAAAAGCAAGCCTCTGCGTTCTGCGATTATTCTATTATTGGGTAAGGAGGGCGGTTTCTTTCGCCATGGCAGAGCAACTTGAAAATGATTATCCACTACTGTCAGCGTCTCTTCCATTATTTGAAGCGCTTTCTTGTCTTCAAGCGACGGACACACTTTAGTTTCAACTAGGGAGCCCTCAAAGTCGGTCTTCCACAGTCTTTCCAATTGATACTTGAGGCATTCATTTTCCGCTTCATCAACTTCATTGTTAGTGTCAGAGTCGGGGCCATCGAATTCCAATCGTGCAAGATTAGCCGATGCACACCGTTCATTTTGGTAGGCGACAGGACCAATCACTGTCCATCCTAAACTGTATTTAATTGCCACTGGATCCTTCTCCTCTCCCAATTTATATTCCAAAGGTAGAAACAACTTAGGATTTTCGCGCAGTCCAATAACCAGCATAACTTCACAAGTCTCTAACTCTTGCAACGGAAGATTGCGTAAGTGTGGCCATTTTCTTATATCACCTCTTTTTGCTACACAAGACTCTGAAATTGGTATTTGGTTCACCGTTCTGACATTTGGTAATTCAACCACTGTGCTGTCATCCATAGAACTTACTACGATATCTACTAATTCACTCTTTAATTCAGTCGATCCAGTCATCCCTGTCAATGTGAAGTCAAGCTTTCGCCCAGTTATTCCAAGTTGATTTTGCAAACGCTTATGACACAGTGTTACTTCTTAACCGCTATCCATTAGTGCGTAAGTTCTGACTGCCGGTCGATTATTCCCCTTTGCTTTTACTTTCAGTGGTACAATGCTAAGGCACACGCGGTCTCCGGCCCCAGTTGCAACTGCTACCTTTACTTCATCTATACTTCCCTCTTTGTTCGGTTCCCTCTTCTTGTTTGTGTTATTTCCTTCACACAGTTTGTCCTTTGAATCCTCTTTACTGGACGTATTCGTTTGTGGTGGATGTAACAACGTATTGTGGCCCTTTCCGCATCCTTCTACTCGACATTTAAGATCAGTCATGGGACAAGATCTGGCATAATGCCCTCTAGTAAGGCACCTGAAACAAAGTTTGTGTTCTTGAACAAACTTCATCTTTTCGTGATAAGGAAGTTTCTTAAACTTATCGCATTTCCATATCCTATGGCCTTCTTGACAAATGAGGCATTTCATGTTTGATGTTCTCCTTTCTTTAAAGTTTCCATCTTTACCGTTCTGTCGTTTGTACGCTCCAGCTGCAAACGAACTAGTTCTCGCAGAGGGACCCTTTTTTCCCTTCTAATCTCTTGCCTCCATCTTTCCTTACGACACCAGAACAGAGATCTTCTCCGAATTCATTGTTCACGAGTTTGGCTCTTTTCTTCACAAACAAAAGGAAATCTTTAAATTTCGGTCTAGAACCAGATTCGATAATAGAACCCGCACATTCTGTCCACCTAACTCTCATAAATAGTGGTAGCTTACGATTTTGCGTAGGGTGTTCATATGGTCCAGCTCGCTTTCATATTCTGGCCCCATACTAGCAAGGGTTCTGTTTGCCACTTCCAGATGTCGAGATAACTCCAACAAACTTGGTCCATCTGCTTGCTTCAATAGCGGCAAATTCATCAACTTTAGAACGTGAGCCTTTGCAATTATGTGCGGTTTGCCAAAATTTTCATACAGTGTGTTTTTCGCGATATTATAACCTTCCTGGGCAGGTAAGTTAACACAACTCTCAATAGCATCACGTGCTTTACCAGTGCAATGTTGTATTAGGAGTTGAAGTCTAGTAGAATTATCTGGATTGTCCTTTTCTAAGCAAGTCTCAAAATTATGCATGAAGAGGCATAATTTATTGCATCACCCTCAAAGTGCATATATTTGATTTTTGGCATGGAAACTACTTGTCTCAAGGCTTTTACTATCTCGTCTCCTCCTCCTCCTTCCTTTAATTGGATCTGTTCGGCTTTTTGTTCAATTAAGTTCGTCATAGGAGCTGATTGTGATTCGCCTTCCGACGATCTTACAGTCTGATCTGAGTTAGTTTGAGTTTTCTGCGTTGGTACCTCCGACTGTTTTATTTGTGGTTCGGATTGATCCACTTCAATGATTTTCTCCAAGTCCCCCACATTCCTTGGCTGGGAGGGCATGCCCTTTGTTTGTACTAGCGAACTTTGTGGAACATACGCCTTTGCATGCGGTGACAGGTTTTTTGTTAGTTTTGATACCGTTACCGCTGTGGTCTTACCGTGGTCTTCTTCGAGTTCGATCTCTGCTTTTTCGCGGCAAGCGTTAAGGCTCACCAACGCTCGCTCTTCTTCCATTTTGGCTTCCATAGCCTCCTTTTCAAATCTTAATTCTGCCATTTTCCTTTCAAGCTCATGTTGTTTCGCTAACTGATCTCTTTTCAGCTGTGCAAGAGCTAACTTTTCTTTCCTTCTGGACACTGTTGAAGACTTGGAACTATGGCTCCTTGACTTACTTGCTGAGCTTCTACTTGTTTGTAATGAAGGCGAACTAACCTCTTCTCCTCGTTGCTTTGCTTCTAATTTTGCATTCCTTTGCCAAGATCTGACCATTTCGTCCAGATGCACCTTTTTTGCCATCTGTTCTTTGTAGCTACGATTTGCTATTTCTCTTTCTTCATCCTGGACGACTAATTCAAGGTATTGTTCGTGAATGTCAACGAACGCCTTCCAATTATCATCATATTGTTTTTTGTGTCTCTTGATTTCGTCCAATGTTGCACCAGCATGAATGCCTTCTTGTAACCATCCCTGATTGGTTATTAAAGTGTTTATTAACCCGATACGAGTCTTAAACAAAACGTTGATTGTTTCGTTTCCGGTCTTTCTTATATTTGATTCCGATGTTGGAGTATTTAGTTCATTGTCGAACACTGTAAAACCTACGTGGCTGAAGCCACTCTCAGATCTTGTTTTCTGTTCGACAATCCGCTCACCTTGCAACACTATCGGCCAAGATTTTACTGACATAATCGAACTCCCAAAATAGAAATGACTTCGCAAGCTGCCCTAGCAACTGTCAATCATTCCATGTAATAATCCCAAAGGTTTTGTTGCGATATCCCGTCCCGAATAAGCAAGTATATTCAGATAGCCGTTTCTTTCGAGCAATTAAATACGTCGTCTGTAACGAGCGAACATAAATGAAAAACACCGTCCCTGACGCGAGAATATAGTTGAGATACACGAATATAAATGAGATTCACCGTCCCTGACAAGCGAATATAGATGAAATACACGAATATAGATGAGATTCACCGTCCCTGACAAGCGAATATAGATGAAATACACCGTCCCTGACAAGCGAATATATTGTTTACCAATTAACAATCGTGGTGTTTAGGTCCTTAACTGTTACTATCAAGTCGTCATACAACAAGAATAAACCAAGTTACAAATTTATTGTTTCAAATTATTATCTTCAATTACTGTCTTTAATTTACTGTCTTCAAGTTACTGTTCTCAAATTACTTTAAGGACCGTTTGGTCCCACGTACAACATTCAACAACAACAATTTGTCTTTTTTACTCTTATTAAATAACAACACCCTTTCAAACGTCACTTCCTGCTTCCCATTCCGTCCAAAGCGGCAATTCATACGGTAGCCACACTTTGCCACCTTCTAAAAGATACGTTTTGCTTGATCGTTGCGAATAATGACGATATCTCCAACTGCTATTTCGGGATTTTGATTACCTCTTGATTTTGAAGTGTATTGTTCTCGTAAGGCTAAAAGATACTCGTTTCTCCATTGAAGAGTAAAACGTTGCAGCAAATTTTTGTGATGTTTCGCCTTTCTCGTCAAAGATTGATACCGTACAGCTCGCGTATTTGTTAACATACGCTACGCGTATGATACGCGTATCATACGAAAAACATACGCGTATGATACGAGTACGATACGCGTATGATACGAGAACGATACGCGTATGATACGAAAAGGATACGCGTATGATGAGCGTATAATGCGTGAATGATAAGCGTACGTATGATACGAGGATGAAACGCTGTGATACTTGATAGAACTTTGTTCATCGTAATGAGCGGCACTATGGTGACATATAGATGTCATCAATATACACTTAAGAAATTTTCACCATGAAGGAGTTAAAAGGAACAATAAAGCAATTGGGTTTTTATAAATGATATCTATTAAAGTTCATGTATGTTATGCATCCATAAATTTTGGGTTGCTTTAGTTTCAATGAAAGTGTTTATCTCGCGTCGTATCTAAGTATACATATGACTCATCAATGACGTATATTGTGAAATGACAACATAAGAAACGACACACTAACAATTGCTTTGTAGCACAATGATGACATAAAAAGGTGTCAGTATACTCTTACTTTATTCACGAAATAGTTTAAAGGCACGATATAGCAAAAGAATTTTTTAATAGATGATCTTATATATACATGTATATGGTCACCTTTGGTCACCTTTCTCCGCTGTGTCCTGCTCGGGTAGCGGGTCTTTGCCGGAGACCCAGTTCTATCGGACTTCTCCAGGCTGCTCTGTCCTGGGTATCCTCTTCTTTGACACCACATAGCTGCATGTCGCTCCTGATGGTATCCTTCCACCGATGCTTTGGGCGTCCTCGTTTCCGTCTCCCCTCCACTTGCATCTCATAAACTCTCCGAATGTCTACATCTTCTTCACGCCGGCACACATGTCCGAACCACTGCAGTCTTTTTCTTCTCATCAATTTCAGTATACTCATGACATTCGCTTCTTCTCTTATGTTTTCATTTGTTCTGTGCTCCTCCAGGCTGACTCCAAGACAATAGCGTATCATTCTCATCTCGCATACACTGATCCTTCTCTGCTAGGTAGTCTGGAACTGGCCATGTTTCATTCCCATACAGAAGCACTGGGCGTATCACCGTTTTGTAGATGAGGATCTTCAGTTTCTTCGCCATCTTCTTATCACAGAGCACTCCCGTTAACTCCCTCCATTTATTCCATGCCCGGCTAATCCGTAGTTCAACCTCAGTCTTGCAACCGCCATCCTGATGGATGGTTGTCCCGAGGTACTTAAATGTCTCGCACTTTGGTATATCTGTATTTCCGGGTCGAGCATATTCTCTTAGCTTGATGTTTCCTATGCAGCCACTCGGTGGGAGTTACTCTGTCTTGGCTCTACTAACTTTCAAGCCAACATCTTCTAATATTCTTCTCCAATCTTCTAGTCTTCCTTCCAGATGTTCTCTCTTCTCATCACACAAGACCAAATCATCTGCAAACAGCATACTCCAAGGTGTGTCCTCTGCCGTGTCATCCGATATTACATCCATAATGATAATAAAAAGTAGGGGGCTTAGTGCCGAGCCTTGATGTAACCCGACCTCTACTTGAATTTTCTCAGTCTCACCAACGTTCGTTGCGACACTAGTTGTAGAGCGCTTATACATATCTTTGATGGTTTAAATATAGGCCTCCGGGACTTGACGCTTCTTTAGACAGTACCATAGTAGCTCCCTTGGGATTGTATCATATGCCTTTTCAAGGTCCACGAAAACCATATGTAGCTCTTTGTTGAATTCTCTATACTTCTCTTGCAGCATCCGCAGACAGAACATCGGCTCAGTGGTTGATTTTCCGCGTTGGAATCCATGTTGGTTGTCCTTTATCTTCACTATTTCTCTCAGTCTCGCCTCTATCACTCTCTCAAATAATTTTATTGAGTGGCAGAGGAGTTTAATGCCTCGATAGTTTCCACAGCTAGGGGATCACCTTTCTGTTTGTAATGGGGCACTATTCTGCTTGTTCTCCATTCTTCTGGTATTCCTGTCTTCATTATTTCTCTACAGCATGATGTCATCCACTCTGTTCCTGTGTTTCCCAATTTCTTCAATAGTTCGATGGGGAGCTCATCCGGTCCTCTTGCTTTATTGTTCTTCATCTTCTTGAGTTGTCTTCTCACTTCATCTTCCGTAATCTCTGGTACTTATATATACATGTATATGTTATGCATTAATAAATTTTGGGTTGCTTTTGCAATGAGCTGCTATTGTCTCACGTCGTATCTAAGTATACATATGACTCATCAGTGACATAGCTGAATAGTTTGTGACACATTCTTATATAAAAACGGAAAATAATTGTGATAACATGAGTCATGGTTTTTTGAAAAACTATATTGAAGAAAAACTTCAGCATCTAAAGGGTTGAGTTTAGGACATGGAAGCAACAACACTATCACAAATCGAAACCAAACTATATTGAAACCATATACGAGAATATTAAGAAAGTAATACGGGTATGACACGAGAACGACATGCGTATAAAATGAAACGATACGCGTATGATACGAGAAGGATACGCCTATGATACGAGAAGGATACGCGTATGATACGAGAGCGATACGCGTATGATACGAGAATGATACGCGTATGATAAGCAAAATTATGTTAACAAATACGCGAGCGGTAGGGTAGGTGCTCTGAATTGCAAATGCTCACTGTTTGGCATGGTCGTTATTCGTCTTCCATACACCAAGTGCGATGGGCTTAGGGGAAGAGATGCAGCTTCTTCGTCGTACACGTAGGTTAGGGGTCGTGCATTTATTACGCCCTCGATTTCAACTACAATAGTATGCAACTCGTCGTAGGTTAGATTGGTTCTACCAACTACCTTTCGCAACGGACGTTTCACGCTTCGAATCAAACGTTCCCAGAAGCCTCCCCACCAAGGGGCCTTTTCGACGATAAATTGCCATGTAATCTGATGGTTTGCAAGATAGCGTAACACTTCCTCAGAACGACATAACTTGCGAATTTCTAAGCATGCAGCTCGAAAAGTCTTAGCATTATCGGATATAAGAAGAGCTGGCAGTGCTCGTCGACTAGCGTATCTGCGGAACGCGCGGAGGAAGGCTGGAACGCTTAAGGAAGGAGTGAGCTCCAGATGAATGGCTCTAGTAGACGCACACGCAAACAATAGAATATACACTTTTGTTGGATTATCCGACCAATTATCCCTTTCGCAACTCTCTCGTACGAACAACGGTCCGGCAAAGTCCAAACCTACGTTTGTGTAAGGGGGATCATCCGACACTCTGCTAACAGGAAGATCTGCAGGAAGCGTTCCCTCATAAGGAAGACCTTCAGCTTTAAGACAAACAACACATTTCCTGACGATTTCCTTTACTGCTTCTCGACCTCGGATTATCCAAAAATGCTCTCTAATGGTTGTTAGTGTATCACGAATCCCGCTGTGCTTCACATTGTGGTGAACCTCGCATATTAATAACTCCACAAATCTTGATTCCTTTGGAAGCAATACAGGATTTTTGCTCTCCAGATTCAGGGATGAATTCTTCAGTCTCCCATGGCACCGTAGCACGTGATCACCGTGGAGAAATAGCCCAAATTACTTAACATAAATAGGTATTGAAGAATTCGCATTCTTTGACAGAAGGAATATTTCTTTTTCAAAGGATAGTTGTTGAATAGACCTTATCCATAGTAGCTGCGCCTTCCTTATTTCGTCTGAGCTTAGTTCTTCTGAGGTTGTGAGTGTGTTTGTTGTTTGCTCGCACCGTGGCATCTTCTTTAACATGTTGATGAATCTCATTACATAAGCAGTTATTCGAAGAAGTTTGTTCATGGAGCTATAAGGTGTAATGTCAATTGCTTTGTTAAGATCTGGCATGGCTCGCTGTTCGATTTTATTCGAAACTAGTGATCTCACGACATTCGGATGCTCATTCACAATTTCCCTCAGAACTTTGTCACTTTGTGAGAGGTTGCCAACTGGACGTTTTGGCCACTCTTTTTCGCCCCTTGCCAAGAATTTGGGTCCATTGAATTATAAGGAAGAATTCGAAAGTTGTTGCCCAGAAATACCTCGTGAGGGTAAATCTGCAGGTTTAAGTGATCCAGGACAAAAGTTCCAAGATTCCGTCAACGAAATACTTCGAATCATGTTCACTCGATGCTGCACGAATGGTTTCCATGCTCGATCGTTTCGTATCCAGTGAAGTGCTGTCATCGAGTCAACCCAATAAAAAACTTCCAGACTTCACTTGAGTGCCTTTAGCAAAGACTCTACTAACTTCGCTAGTACAGTCGCTGCCACCAGCTCTAAACGGGGAATCGTTTGCTTTTTCACTGGTGCGACCTTTGTCTTTGAAGCGATTAATTTCACGTCGATGGTACAATCCATGAACTTGTGTAGTAAAGTATTTCGGTAGGGGTAGATAATAGCACCTCGGTAAACGAACATCATTTAGAAACCTTAACTCTGACAATAAAATGTTCCACTGCTCACGTAGATTGCCATAAAGTTCACAGTCCCATCCCAGTCTATCCAAGCACATGGTCTTTAGCCTCATCGTAAAATGAGACAAGAATCAAAGGGGATCGAAGATTTTAGATGACCATTTCAACAACGATCGCTTTGTAACAGGTAAAGAATTGGCGTGCTCGATTATTTCAGTCAAATTGAACAAAAATGTGTCCTCCACCGTATCGCACACCATTCCTAGTACCTTGACTCGAGTGGGTTCCGTGAGCAGGAACTCTTTTGCAATTGTCGACTTTTAAAGGACTGATCATCTTGAGTAACATTTGACTTGTAACCAATCAAGCTCAAATTCTTGCTACCTTCGAACGCCTCGATAGACTTCACTACGTTACTGGAATTCGAGTTCCATTTTCGCAAGTTGAATCCACCCTTGGCCATCAACTGCTTTGTTCTCTTGTATATTTGCAAAGCGGTTTTATCGATTTCAGCACCGAACACAAAATCATCGACATACAGAGAATTTTTCAAGTGTTCAACAATTTCTGGCTCCTGCTTCTCGTGTGTCTTCAAATGATGGTTGATAGTAGCTCCTAGAATTGCTGGCGACGGTCGTAGACCGAAAACCAATTGAGAAAATCTTAGCTTTAATACTTCTCAATGGGGATCCCTAGCATTCCTCAGCCACAAAAAACGAAGGATGTCTCTATCTTTTCCTTGTCAATTCCAATCATTAAGAATGCTTTCTCAATGTCAGCAACTAGCCCAATCTTGTTTTGTCGAAATTAGACGAGCAATTCAAAAATTTGTGGTATGAGGTTCGGCCCGGTCAGTAAACAATCGTTTAGTGAAATGTTACGCAAGTTCTTCGTAGCAGATCCATCATATACAACGCGTAGCTTCGTAGTAACCTTATCCTTTCGTATGACACAATGATGGGGAAGATAGTGAATTTTACCGCGATCCTTATCAGATGCCGGAACCCTTTCAACTATTCCTGCTGCCAATTGTTCAGTAATACCATTATTATATTCTTCAAGATTTTGTGGGTCCTTTAGCAGTTTTCGATGCAATGATCTCAATCTATTATGACAGAGTTTGTAATCGTCATCAATTTGCACATGATCATTTTTCCAGGGCAGACCAACTTCGTAGCGTGTTCCAGTGAATCGAATATTTCGCACAAAATCTTGTTCCTCGGGTGAGTTCTCTGAGTCAAAGGAGTCAATGCCAACGCTCTCAGTTTCCCAAAAACGCTTCAATGATATTGTTAACTCATCCCGATCAGTTACGATAGTAGAATTATCAAGGCAATCGGCTGCTAAAATGAGGCTGTTCAGAGTATGTCCGTTTGATTTTTGCGATGACCATCCAGACAAAAGCCATCCCAATTTTCTACTCATCGCTGTTGGACCATTTTCTCCTCGTACGACATCACCTGTGACTGCGTCCCAATAATGATCAGCTCCTATCAAGATGTCAATTGAATCACAGCTACCATTGTCATCAGAAGAATCAAAGTCTGCAAGTTCTAAACCATGGAGATGTGGATATTCGTCTATATTTATCCTTGTAGGAAGTGGTGCACATATTGTTGGAAATGCGATTGCTTTAATCTCTAGTACATCACCTCCACTCTTGTTTACAATGTTCACCTTGAACAATTCGCAGCTTTCTCGTTTACTCTTGCTTTCGCCAAAGGTATTTTATTGAAGTGTCTCCTTGCCAATTGAATTTAACCTTAACCGGCCATGAAGTAACCTTCGAATATAAGACCTTTGGCTTCCAGTGTCAAAGAGAATTCGTGCTGGAACCGATTTTGATCCATTTGATACAACAGCTCTGGCCGTCTGCAAAAGAACACTTCCCTTGACAGTTCGTGTGACAGCTGTTGTGGTCGGAGAGATTACACCTTCTCATACTTTCTGTGGTTTGGTGTTATCAATTGCCTTCTCATTTTGGACACCCTGACTGTTGGTAGCAGGATTTCTGCAAATAGATTGGTGATGCCTCCCGGAACAATGTCGACGTTTTCTTGTGACGATACACT